ATGAACATGAACATGAACATGAACATGAACATGAAAATGAACATGAACATGAAAATGAACATGAACATGAACTTGAACATGAACATGAACATGAACATGAAGGTGTAGATAAACATAAACATAAACAATAAAAGCGATAGAGACAAAGATAGAAAGAAGAAAGTGATAGGGATAAAAAGGAAATACAACTGAAGAATGTGCGATGTTATATTGTGATGTGTTATGCTACATATGTTATGTTATTGAATCGAATGATATTCTATGTTATGTTATGCTAAGTACTAAGCTAAACTCCCCTCCACTAAACCCATTCCAACAAATTTTATTTCAGCTCAACTTAACTCACATAATAATAATAATAATAATAATAGATTGGCGCTTACACATATGTTAGTGTTTGGCCGAGCTTCTCCTCCGACTTGTGGCGTGCGCCTTGATATTGTCACACAAGGCGAAGGGACCTACAGTTTTACGCCGACTCCGAACGGCGATTGTATTTTTATGAGAAGCTGTTTTTCATGGCAGAAATACGATCGGAGGTTTGCCATTGCATGCCGACGGACGACCGCTGTTAAGAAAAAAACCTTTTTTCTAAATTTTTTGCGATGTTGCTTTGACCAGGGTTTGAACTCGGGTCCTGCGGAGTGGAAGCGCGCACTGCTTACCACTACACCACAGCGGCCGACCTTAACTCACATAAACTATCCTTAATTTTAGCGGTTGAATTTCAACCGCTGGGCGAACACTAGTATATTTAAATGGCCTAATATGTATTGCAAAAAAAAAGTGACCACGGTGGCACAGAGAAGAAGTTTAAATTTTCCTCGAGTTGTGTGAATAACAAGCACAACCAATTTGACAGCTAACGAGCTTTGATTGAGATTATATTTATATGTAAATGTACTTTTATGCTTTGCCGTTCGCATATGTATAAACATCAAATTTCATGAGTACCTAGTACTCACGCCTTTTTTTTAATAGAACTGCGGATAGCCCGTCAATGTCAGTTTGTTTCGAGGGCTTAAGCTGCGCAATGCCATTAAGAATGTCGGTTGTGGTCAAGGTTAGGTATCCAAAGCTAAAGGTCGATTCCTTAGTATTGGAAAGGCTTCCACTAGAGTCGTCATATAAGATGAAGTTTGAGCGGAAAAAATCGGCAAACAGATTCGCAGCCTCAATGGGGGATGTAGCAGAATTTCCGTCCAGAAATAATTGAGAAGCAATACTAGAGCAAGATTTCTTCGAAGTTATAAATCGCCAGAAAGCTTTAGGATTCGACTTGATATTGGCTTCATAGTTTAAAACGTAGTTTCTGTATAAAAATTTATCAAGGCAGTTAAAATGTTTGGCATACATTTTATACTCAATAAAAAACTAATAGTTGTTCGTCTTTTTGAATTTGCGGTGGTATTTGTTTCTTAAATTTTTTATTCTTTTAAGATTTCGAGTATGCCATGGAACTTTGTACAACTTTTTTCCAAAGATTGGAATGTTGTTTTGACAAACTTCAACTACTTTAGATTTAAAGAAAAATTACATACATTATAGTTAAAAGATGCTTTTGTGTTTTTCTTGTCCAAGCTGAGGTATGAGTAAAAATAAATATCTAATACCAAGGGAACATGATACATATCAGGCTCCTTAAAATGAAAATTACACTCGGACAACTGAAAGTTATCATTAGTGCTAATAAATATTAGGTCCAAAAACCTCTGAAGCTTATTGTGAAAGTAATTTATTTGCCTAATATCAATGCTTAAACAATTATCAATTAAATATATCTCGCTACTACTATTCACGCAGATTGTTAAAAGACCAGACGTCTTAGCTATATTAGACCACCAAACGTTGTTTAAGTTAAAGTCCCCTAAGACAGCAAGATGCTTATCTGGTGCACAATTTGCGTTTAGAGACAAAATATTATCTACATGCGCCTTATACAGCTCATCTGAGCTATTCGGCGGAATGTATGAAGCGCAGATGAAGAGCGATTCCCGAGGGCTTTGTACACACACGCAGAGTCGGTCCAGCAGCGAGTTATTGTTGCTTAGCTCGTAGAAAAACGCCTTATGTTTCCTCTGGATCGCAATTAGGACACCACCATCTCTAGCACAACCAGTTTTGACTGCACCTCTGTCCTTTCGGAGTACTTCAAACACGTTTGGATCGAAGAACTCATGACTGAAGAAGTTATCGTTTAGCCAAGTTTCTATGATAACGAAGATATCATAATCTAACTGCGAACTCATGACATGAAGAGATTTAGATTTTGTCCTAAGACCAGAGACATTATGAAAATATATTTTTAAGTGCTTGTGGTTAGCATTATCGAACTTTGGGCTTTTGTCTGAGAGTCGTCGTTTTTTTGGCATAAATTTAAAAGGGCACATAGCAACATTCGCAGGCCATTAGTTCGGATTTAAGAGCTTTTCGTAGTGCAAATTAGATACGCCCAGTTTAAAATTTACACTCTTTAGAGTATTTATAGAAACATCCTTTTTAACTAGGGGAGAGCACGAAAGCATGCTGGGTTTAATGTTTGCATGTTTAGCTACATAATCAATTATGTTTTCCGCTTTGACAGAATTAGAAAAAGAAGACAAGTGCAGCCACTTCAGTCGAAATTAGAGATGGGCACGGGACTAAGTATTTAATCCCGACCCCGCCCATCCCGAAATTCGATTTTTAAGCCCCGAACCCGCCCATCCCGAGATTTTTCAGAATTGTACCGCGGGTCCCGTGGGTCCCGATATCTATCTCTAAAGCGGCTACACACGGACAACAAATTGAAACGAGCGGTTGAGATTTCAACGTGTGTGGCGAGGTTTACAAACCGATCGAAGGTTCACAAAAATATTCATGTCTTTCATATTAATTTTAAATAATAATGAAAGATCTGGCATCTTCCTATAATTTTTTTTCTTTTTCGCCTCAATAAAACATTAAAAGTGCATATTTCAAACATCGTTTTTAAGGAAGATTTTGTGAATTTGCGGGGGTTGCGGTTTTATCGGGAGTGTCGGGAAAGGATTTTGGTCCCGTCCCGCCCGCCATATTTTTACAGATCTTCCCGATACCGCCCATCTCGGCCAATTTTAAATCAGTACCGTGGGTCCCGCGGGTCGCGCTATCCCGCGAAAAAAATTACACTTAGAAAAAGTAGAAAACAACTAGAGATGCATCCAGTTTTTTCAACAGACCTTTGCCAAATAATATTCGGTTCTCTTTATAGCCAGCCTTTGAGCATTGATGAAGATGAAGATGAAGATGAAGATGAAGATGAAGATGAAGATGA